TAAAAATAGATATTATTTTTATCATTAATAACATCTACATAATTTTAATTGAGTTTAGGGAACAAAAGAAAAACAAGTCATGCTCCAGGACGGGATGGCTAGGCCGTTACTCCAGCCAGCCTTACGTGGCATTTCTCCCTGCTACTCCATGACTACCAAGGTAGTGGAGCATGATAACAGTAATTGTGTAATTCAAGTCAAATAATTATTTAATCCCTCTCCTCTCAAAATGGCTACTTTACTCCAATACTGGTTCAATATAATTACATTTTAAATTGTACATTTAATGATGGGAATATGTAAAAGATAATCTATTCTTCTTTCAAATGTTCAAACTTAAAAGTTGAAACCTAAATTTAATTGAAGAGGACTCACGCAATAATAGTTAGGATATTAATACTGGTAAAGACATTTATACGGTTATCATCAAACACAATCCACAAATAAAAAAGGAAATCACTTTCTGTGAAAAAACATTAAACCTCCAATATCCATTCACAATGTAGCATGGGAAGAATTAACCATAAATAGGATATAAAATCCTACTTTTATACATACAAATCAAAATTGACCTATTTGCTAAATGGTTTTTTTTAAACAGAAAAATATAATATTTATTGAAAAAGGGAGTACAAGGGGTATCCTAAACCCTTAAACATCCCAACTTGAAGGCATGAATTTACATAGTCGAATAGCCCATCCGTTTGGTGTCAACACCAAAATTATGTGTCAACACCACGTCCGTGTTGGGATTCTGGATGCTTACCATATGGTGTCGACACCAAAATTATGTGTCAACACCACACCCGTGTCGGGTTTCTGTCCTCTTTTGCAATTTCTTCATATCTCACTCTTCTAATCATCAAAAACTTCCCAATTGTCAAACCCACTGGCACGCAAAACCCCTATTGTGTAAGAAACACCTTCATATTGTATTACTGTAGACATCATATTATCCCACCTTGTCTGAAAGTCTTTTTGCAACTATTATAATTTTCTTCCATATTTAGTGGGTCCCTTCATCCTCTTTTTGTTGCTGTAGCTCATCTCCAAGCAACCAGCCGAGTTGTGGAACCAGTCTACCAATGAGAAAAAACTTCCTCCCCCATCAACAGCGAGAAGAGGAATGCAGTACAGATTCCCTTAAGGCTATTCTGGAACCTGCAAGAACCCCCAGCATGCAGCACTACTACTTTATTTGCTCCTTTTATCTTTCAAGCATTCCACAAGGTCTAACATCCAATTGCAAAATTAAAGGAGTACCCAATTGCTCTGCTTTTAATCCATTGGAATGTTCGTAACTGCACAAGCTCAAAAATCCTGCTGACATCCTGCTTCTGGTTTCTGAAAGCCTTTCCGTTTCTAGATGTCCATAGAGACCAGATTGTTGCACACCAAATTGCATCCCATCCTACCCTGATAGTTACATTTTTAAAAGGGGCTAAATGTTGTTCAAAGGATGCATATAGTTTTCAGCTCTCACTGAAATGATCCTCTACCATTGAAGACATTTGGACCACACTGAGTATGCTATTTTGCAGTGGATAAATAGATGGTTTGTACCTTCACTACTCTCATTGCACAAAGAGCATGTAGTGAGGCTAAGATCAGGAATAATGCCTCTTCTATGTAGATTTAGCTTTGAGGGGATTCTATCCTGTAAAACCTTCCACACAAAAGCACATATTTTTTAGGGAACAAGCTTGCACCAAATCCTTTTATGCAGGCTGTTCCTACTCTCTTGCTGGTTACTAGAGAGAGCATAATATCCAGATTTAGCTGAATAAGTATCTTGATCGTGCCTCCACTCCCAGCAGTCTTTGTGTCCCTTAGCTAGTTGGGTAGTTTGCAGTAGCCTCCACAGCTCCGACATTGAGTTTTCCTCCCAAGAGAAGTTAGGTCTCCTCCATATTAGGCCTATTTGCTAAATGGTTGAATGAGTAAAATTTCCCAACTGCAATAGAACTTCTAAAATTTGGGTCTTTAAGACTATAAATAAGAAGTTTGGAGAGAACAATGATTTCTTTTTCTTTTTCTTTTTCTTTTTCTTTTTTAATTTTAATTTACACAATAAAAAGCAACAAATTATTTCTCATGTTTCATAAGGGATATTATAGTAATTAAGAGTTTGAATCTTCGTATAAAAGATTTTAAGTTTAAATATTGCAATTTATTGGAAGGGATTTGGGAATGAGAGAAAATAATTATTTCTTATTATAAAACTCATCATTTGACATACCAAAAAAAAAAAACTATTTCTCATCATTTAACCTACACACTATATGTTAAAATAAATATGCCACTGTTTATTGTTTAATGGAAGCCATTAAATTAAATTAGGCTTCTAAGACCAAGTCCGCAGCCATTTAGTCAACAGCTATGTCATAATCTTTTCCATAATACAATGGTAAAAGTATCTACTAAAAGGACTCAAATATAGGAATTACCTCCCAAAATAAGATAAGAAACAAAAATATCTGATTGTAATTTAGCCTTCTAATCTTCAATACATATGCCACCTAAATATAAATTAAGGTTACCTTATTGAGACCTTAATACATATTCTAACTGTACCCAAAAATAAACTTATTGGATATTATGGGTAAATTAGATTATTTCATTATAAGCACCGTTTATTTTGGGTATAAATAGTCAATATTATCCCTAACTTATATTGGAATTTTAATGAGGTCCAGAACCTTATTTCCTTGGCAATTGGGTCTCAAACTTCTTAAACTCTTTCGGTAAAATCCTTTCACGTACTTTCTCCGTTAAAATCATTACCCCAAAAAAGGGGTAGGCAAACTATTACTCTCTCCCTTTATTTTATTTGTTTTTACAAATCTAATTTATTTTTTTAACTTTTTATACATAAATTTTAAATAAAAATTTAACATATTAAATAAATGATAATTGAAAACTTTTTTATAGAATAAAAATACTTAACAAGAATTTCATATAAAAAAATTTGAATTGTTATTTATTTAAATTATTAAATTTTCATTTAAAATTTATATATTAAAAATCAAAATGTCAAATTAAATTTACTAAAAATAAACGGCCAAAGCCCCTATTTGCACCCTCCATTTATTTTTTTTCCGCGGTCAACACCTTCCGGAATTTTTTCTCCCTATTCACACCCTCCACTTTTCAAAACCCGTGAAAAACCCAATATTTTAACGTACCGTCACGGTCCCGTTAAAAACTATATTACGTGGCACCCAAAAATTGACGTGGCACTATGTAACGTTAATAATTCAACGCAAACGCCACGTATACACTAAAAATAATAAAAAATTATAATATTATCATACATAAATGGCATTTTTTCTTTTTTTTTTCTTTCCCCCCTCATCCTCGGCATCATCTTCACCGCCGTCCATCTTCACCGCCCTCCATCTTCACCATCCTCTTCTTTCTCCATCTTCACCGAACTGGGTTCCTGCGCGGAACCCAGAACTGGGCTCCCCGCGAGGAACCCAATTCTGGGTTCCTCGCACAGGAACCCAGAACTAGGTTCCACGCAAGAACCCGAACTGGGTTCCCCACGAGGAACCCATTGAGAAGAGGACAGTGAAGATGGAGGATGAAGATGATGCCGAGGATGAGGGGGAAAAGAAAAAAAAAATGCCATTTATGTAACTGTTTGGTAATATTATAATTTTTTATTATTTTTACTGTATACGTGGCATCCACGCTCATAAAAAAATAAACCACGTCATAAAAAAAAATATTTACGTTGGATTACTAACGTTATATAGTGCCACGTCAATTTTTTGGTGACACGTAATATATTTTTTAACGGTGCCGTAACGGCCCGTTAAAATATTGAGTTTTTCACGGATTTTGAAAAGTGGAGGGTGTGAATAAGGAGGAAAAATTCTAAAAGGTGTTAACTGCGAAAAAAAATAAATGAAGGGTGCAAATAGGGGCTTTGGCCAAAAATAAAAATAAAAACTATAACGAGCTACATCAAACACACCCTTTGTAACGGGCTCCAGCTTGCCGAAAGGACAAAAGTGCATGGCTCCACATCCCTTCTTCCTCTTCTACTTTGAAAGAAACTGCATTAAAGTCCATTACCTAGTTTCAAAACAAAGAAACTGCATTAAAGAGGGCGTATCAGACGCAAAGTTCCCATCAAAATTGGACCTGGTGCCATTGTCTCTAGCCTCCTCTTTAATGTGTATGATTATGGTT